GAAAATGTCATCACTGCTGCTTCTTAAGATACTGAATGATAGAAGTCAGACCACAGATTTTGTTTTATCAAGTTTGAGCTATTTTCCAGTCCTGCTGATTAAGGTATAATTCAACTGTATTTTACAGAACTCAAACACCTTTTAGTCATTTAGTGCCTACTTAAAAATCTGAAGATTGTTATTAAATGAAAGAGAAAGAATGCAATTACTAAATCAGTGGTGTAACCTTCGTGATTTGCTTTTCTTCTCCTCACAGATATTACAATGAGAAAACTTAAATTAAAACCAGAATAGGCAATACAAGGAAGTCATGAAACAAGCAACAGTAATCTATGTAGGTTATTCTCCCAAATGCCTAGTCAGAGGTCTCAGATGGCTAATATGGTTGAAATGTGTAATTCAGGGCTACAAATAGTATGTTTATAAATCTAGACATGTCCAGTGCACCTTGGAAGCAGCTGTGTGGGGTTAAAAAAAAGCCAACAGTATATCGGATTTCAGCTAAACAAGGTTGCAAACTGAATTATCTATTTCCTCTCAGAACTGGAAGATACAACACTGCAAGGCTCCCAGTAATCATTTTAAATGTAATTAAATCTAATTAGGATTAGAATTTAATGCTAATCTGGGAATATTACATTTGCATTAGCTAGTCAGTGTACTGATTTACCCACCTGTATGCTACAATAGTTAATATAGGAATTAAAGATCAGTTACTATACTGACTTTACATCTCCATCAATATTACAGGCCAGATCATAAAATACACAACCTCTGATACTAAAAATACCTATGTGCAGGATTAATTTTAAGCATACTGTCTTGTTCTGTGAAGTTCAATACACAGTGTTTATGTTCTCCATTGAAAAGTCATGTTTATGTGTGACTCGGGTATTAATTCCTGCAGTAGAAAATGTATTTATTTCATATAACATACTTATCCACAAATGCTTCAAATTACATTACATCTATTTCATAGGCAAGCTCCAAAACCGATGCAGACATTTCTTGCTTAAACTCAAGGTTAAGATACATCATATTCCCCATCTTTTGTTCTCCTCAGCTGTTCCCCGCATAAACTCAAACATACCATAAGTACTTTCAAAGTCGTTTTTCTCTGACCATATCATGGTTTACTTGTTTCAGTATATTTTTATTATCAGGCAGTGAGTGACTGTCCCTGGATATTTTCAGCAAGACATGCCTAGCTAGCTTGGCCTCCCTTCTATTCCCTTTCCTTCCTTTGGAAACCCAGAGCTGCTTCTTTCTCCTTGTTATTCTCAACATCTTAACGGTTCATTTTCTTGTAAAGAGGTTATTCCTCAGACACATCCTTTCCTGAGACTGACCACTTGCTGGACATATTTTGTCTATCATAAAACTCATCAATGAGAATCCCTCATTCCCAGTAAGAGTGTCTGTTTTCTTGCAAATAAATTTAATTCCCAAAAACGTGACATAAACACAGTGATACCACTGTCTTACAGAGACATGGTTCAGGGACAACAACAGAGGAAAACAATATGTAGCTTGAGGAAGCTGGGAAAGATGTGGAGTTATCACTTCAACTGCCTGTGGCCTATTAGTTCACCAATCTAGTCACCCATCTAGCAACTCTGTCCAAGTCTGTACACTGGGAATAAGAATGAATGAACTACAGGGATCGTAAGTGATCAGCATGACCACAGCAGATGTGTCATTTCATCATCATCCAAAACCTAAGAATATGAACATTTCAAATCTCCCTTTCTTACATCTTGAGGGGATCCACTTTCATAAATGAAAATACTCTGTACATGACAGGGGTAAAAGAAGGGGGAAAAATGCAGCATATATCATTTTCCTCTCTCAGGAGAGGAATGTCAAAGAATCGCACAACATAGAAACCCATTAAATTAATGTTCACCTACCAGAGCTAATTACAGGCACACAGTTTGAAACTGTGAAGCCTCTTTCTTAAGGTAGCACTACAGTGACTTATTTCTCTGTTCATTGTTTTTGTCAGGTTGATTTTTGTCAAAAAACAAAACCTCTACTAAAAAGTAAGCAAAATCAGACTCAGAAAAGAGTAAATATATTTCATATTGCACTTGGAAAAGTATACAGATTTTCATAAACTTCTGATGTCAAAACATATCCACTCAAGCTTTATTAGCAGTGAAACAAAAAAACTAGCAGAACTTCGTATCAGCTTCCCAAAGCCTATCTGCTCAGCTGGCTGTGGCCATCCAGGCACCCTCTAACTACCAGCAAGGGAGAAAAAGGAACTGCACAACATCCCACAGGCTCCAGGATTTGACACATTAAAGGGCCAAGACAGGAATGATCCAACTATTCAGGTAAAACAAATACTCTCAGGTGTAAGCAAAATGCTGCAGCACCTGCATCTCTGCTGATAGACCAATATTTCTGTTCAAAACTTTTCTAGGCTAACTTCTGCCCTATTTTCATCTGTGAAGAGGAAAAGACTTCTCAGCCAAATGACATAATTAAATAATCTATTCTATGGTGAAATGTCAGTTTGAAAAAAGAAATACACATATTCTCGGACAGATTTGTTTCACAGTGAGAAGGGTGAACTTTCAGACTGTCCACAGCCCAGTGCCAGCAAAGGTCCTCTGCAAATAACGGGAGTTGTGTGTGTCAGAGCTACACAGTTTTGCAGTTTTCAGTTCTCCATGGTTACGTCAATCCTCTTTACTATGTTTGATACAAGCAGTAAAACAATGGAAGTGTTTAAAAGATTTACTTATGATTTTAACTTGTTATCTGAATCAACCAGGAATTTCTCGGAAATGACGACTAGATGATGAAGGATAAAAGGGTTCTCTAGTGGAAGTTTCCATCTCCCACTACAGTTTAATGAAGATCCCAGTAGCAAATCCTAAGATTTTAACTGAAGGCAAAGAGACTTATTTTTATACATCACATAGGCTCAACTTTATGAGCTGCCAGTTTACATATAGGCAACAAAAAGCCCTTTGGCTAAATACAGACATTGGAATAAACTGTCAGTTAACAGTAATTTCATCCAGTAAGTGTTTATGCCCATACATCCTAATGAAGAAAGATTATTTTAAGATTAGAGCACTGAAAAGGAAGAAAAAAATTAGAAAAGGAGAAAAGAAAAAGAACGACAAAGAAATCACAATGTTGCACAGAACCAAAACATCCAATTATGCTTTGATCCTGGTTTGAATTTTAAATGTTACTGTCATCATTATTTTCTATCATACAATTTCTTTCAGTGATTACTTGATATCTATATGTCAAATGTACAGAAAAACAAGGCATGTTATAGGTAGAAGTAGTAGTTTATCTTCCAGACATAACAAAACTCATCTCTCACACATTATTGAGAAACCTGTCAACAACGCAAATCAAGCACCAAGTGGAAATGAGACATGATGCTTAATTCCCTCAATCAGCATTTTCTTGCTTGCTAGGAACACCTCTCTTGGATGGGCTGACAAGGTGCAAGCTAATTTACAGATCCAGGAGGAGTCAACTGCATCCAGATAGCACTGCTCCCACATTAATTAAGAGGAGACTGAAAAGTAAAGTTCACTCAGAAATGGCAGTGAGGGAAAAAAAATAACTCAAGAGAATGTTGACTGTTATGAAGAGCAAACAACAAAGCAATCATCAGATCTTTCTATCAGTTAAATTACTGTTGTTTCCAGATTAAAGATTTCAGAGGTGTTCTATCAAACATACAGAAATGGTTACCTGTCTGGACCATGGAGTTCCCCAAGCTTTCTAGATTGCTGTAAACATTTTCTGACTGAACTCACAAGAGAGCATTCAAGGTGCCCACTAAGCAACTACTTAGAGCCGATAGAATTTATCATGTAAAATGTGCCTCAATTTTACCTGTCATTTCTGCTGTATAAAAATGGTAGAATGCAGAAAAGAACAAGTCAACATTTTATATCTCCTACCTTCCACACTCTCGCGGAGCGGGGTGCAATGTTCCACTCCATGAACTACCCTCATAATACGATTCACAGTCACAGAACAATTCTCAAGAAGCTATGCGGTTACAGCACAGGTTCAACTAATGTTTTACAGGATAAAGAAAGTAATGGAATGAAAGTTAACTTAAGTTCCCTTTACATGTTTTCAGAGCAGAATCATTAATAAATCTTTAAATAATAGTGGTACCTCATCCTTAAAATTAAATAATGAACAAATTAATATACCAAACAAACACTGCGTTGATATTGGTTGTTTCTTCAAAATATATTTATTCACTCTAGCTAGTTGAAAGAAAGATTGACTTTCTTGCTCTCTTTCCCCTTCCCACAAAAGATCAAAGGTGTTTGTCATGCTTCCCCATTTACCCACAACAGCAGGGTGTCCCTCAGCAGTCTGCTCCTTTCAGATCACTTATGTTTGCTGAAGAGATGACTCCTTTAAAAAGAACTCAGTGTTTGGTAAAAATCAGCCTTTCACTGACCCATTCTCTATGGGTTCTCAGAGTATACAACCTTATTTAGATCCTGTTTTCCTTTAGAGGAGCATGCTGTTTTTCAATCTCAAACTGATTCATCTCTTTCACATCATGTCTCCATGATACCAACAGTCTTAATAGTAAAGCAAAGAAAAGCATCCATTTATTAACACAGCAGCTTTGGGTACAGTATTTAAGAAGAAAAAAAACAACCCCAAACCCAAAATGGTTTAACTTATCAAAGGATGTGTGCACGACTTAGACATCACCAAAGACTCTTTCCAAAACCAAGTAGTTTCTGACTTAAAATCATCTTTTCATTTGCCTTTCCTTTGGCCTGCCAGCCATCTCCTTCTCTCCTGTTCTGAGCTACTTCCCTTTCATGACACCACGCGTAGGCTCAAAAATTGAGAGATGGGCCTATAAACACCATGTATGTATTTGCATAGTAAAATATGGCCTCAGCAAACATTCACAGTATAATGCAAAACTAAAAGATGAAACTTGTTTTTATAATTCATTCTATATTTCCTTGCAAAACACCTACCTGAACATGTCTCCTAAGCCTTTCAGCATTCCTTTCTTTGCCTTAATTTTATCCTTCTCTTTATCTCGATCTTTCTTCTTTTCCTTTCCAGCTTTTTTTCTGTCACTTTTATCCTGGCTTCCATTCATTTGCCTCTCCAATGAGTGGGATGGTTGGTCGCTTGCTGTGGACACAGATTCTCTACCAGATCTTGAGCTCTCCTCTGTGTCTTCCTCCACTGAAAGCACATATTAAGAAACATCGGTGGGATAAAACAAACAACAAGGGCAGGTTTCTTGGTATATTTCATAATGTGTTTTGAAGCAGGATATATGCAAAGCCACAATATACTCATATTTTTTTAAAAAATCAGTATCTGCTTACATAGGGGTTTCCAAGAATGTTCATTAGAACTGTAAAACTACTAAAAGTAAGGAATTGACCTCTGCAGAACTGTCTGAAAAACACAATTTGTACTTTGTGGGTACCCTAAATAATGTGTGGATTAATAAAGAGGATTAGCAATGTGATGTTAATTGGCCCATTTTGTTTCAGTATCTAAATCAGTTGAGGAGAGCTTTAGAAATATCTGCAAGAAGAAACAACAGTAGTGCAGCGTGCCTTGTCAGTAAATTCTTAGTCATACTCTCATAAAAATATGAAAGTCATTAAGGAGTGTTAATCCTCAACATAAGCCTTAAGACTTTTTCTTCTACTGCAAGTAACATAATAGTTTTGTTATGCTACTTCATTTCCTGGAGCCGTTTAAAACACATCATGCACTATGACTTTTATTTTTGTTGCTATTCTTGGTTCAGATGGGGTGGCCTGGGAGGTTCAGGCGGGGAGATTTCAGCGAGCAGAACAACTAAAATCCTTTAAGGACAGATGAAATGTTCATTCCCTGTTTCTAATCCAAGACCAAGACTCCTAAAGTATACCCAAGGTTAGATTTAACAGACCACATGTAGTCCAGAAAGTTTGAAAGAAAAATGACCAAAAGAAAAAATCCATTAAAAACCTGAAAACTCCTCTAGGAGTTTAGTAAGAAAAAAATAAAACACTTCAAGCTGGTGGGTCAGAATCCTGCACTGGTGAAGCTGTGACTTTCCATGAGCTCTAACATTTCATATCATCACATTATAAGTAGGGCTGCAATCATCTCTCAGTTTTTCAATAGACAGCACAAAGCAGCAATTAGGATCACAGATGCATACTTAGTGCTGTCTCCTGTAGCTCTAATGAGTACAAAGGCTCCAAACAACTTTTGGCACCAGAAGTTGAAAAATACAGGTTTGTTTTATGATTGTTATGTTTATTTTTTATTATTTATTTGAATTACTAACTATAATAATAATAAATTATTTGTTATAAATTATTTATGCTATTATTTTCATATCAAGCCAGTATAGTTTCAGACAACAGGCCCAAATTCAAATGTTCCCAATCTGTACATCCTCAGTTAAACATGATCCCTAATAGTGTACTTGCCTGTCTAAATCTTGACCAAAGAACTGACTTTCAGCATGAAAGTCACATAGATCATACAGTCTATGGAAAAGAAAAAAACTTCTGTACTCAATAAGATTTGGAAATGGTCACAGCTTATAGAAGGTAAAAAGAATAATTTTTTTGTTTCCCCTAGTTTACCACTTCTTAATATTATTCCTGCTAATATTACTCAAGATCTCAGCAACTGTTCTATTGCCAATACAAGAGTACAATTCTTTAGAAATTTCTCATACATAGACAACTGTAGAATGTAAACTTGTTTTTTTAGTCATCATTCATACTGAATGTATGAGTAAATCATTGAACCTGAAAAATCTACAAATCACTGACTGAAAGCCATTCAATATCATCTCATTTCTCTCTCAGACACTTCCTTGTAAAATATTTTTTATTCATTAATATTACAACCCACTTCCAACAGACGTAGTACTTATTCACCAAGTATCAAGATTTCTGTAAATATTCTCCATCCCCAGAAGATCACATAAACATATTGCAAGAAAAACATACCATGTCAGATATATTTCAACACCAATAACCATTTCTGAATCTCAACTAGTACTCTGAAGTACAAACCACCAATAAAAAAAAAGAAAAGAAATAAAAAACCCTACAAGGTCAGGTCTTGGTATTTAATGTTAACTTGTCTTCAGGACTGTTATGAGTAAAGCAGATAATATACCTTTTCAAATATAGATACAGTTTTAATATTCATATAACTGTATTTTATAAAACTAATGGGTCCTATCCATGCCTCTGTACCAGCTGTTCTTGTACTTTTTTTGGTCACAGTATTTCTTAATCAGTGTCTGGAATGATATTTAGTTATTATTAAAAGAGTTATGGAAAATTGCTTTGGAATAAAGATGTTAATTTTTTTGCACATTAATTTATAGCTACAATCTGTTCCAGTTAAAACCAACTAGACATTTAAAAGACTGTACTTGCAAACGAATATAATTAGTAAAAAAACCCTGCATTAAATTTCTGACAAATTTTGAAGTCAACAGTTTACTTGGAACTTCATTGGCAGAATTTTAGAGATTAACCAGTTTTGACCTATGTTTGCTCAGATTCATATAACAATTCGCTATACTAATCATAAATGTGTATTGTGTACTGTGCTATGTTGAGTTGCTGAACAACTTGTCATAACAATGGTTTTGCTTATTATTTATTTTGCATATTCTATGGAGAGAACACTGCCTCCTTTTCACACTGGTGCTGCAATGTATATTTGTCTATCATACACAGTTTGCTTGCAGTTAGTTCAGTAGCACAGACTGAGGCCTGTGAACTAGGATGCCTGTCCTCCTGGAGTAAACACTGGTCTCTCTATTGGACTAAAGAGATTTCCAGTTTTCTTAAAAGGACTTAACATGAAAAAACCTGTTTCACTTTAATGCAGCACAGTCATTCTGCAATTAACATACACCTAATTACTAGTGTTTAGAACAAATGCAAATGCCGCTCAATTAAAATTCAAGCCCAGGCTACAAATGAAACTTCTAATTTTTGTTATGTTGCAGTAATGACATTAGGTTACTGCAAAATGCAGAATGTATTTGTTTTGGTGCTGTTATTTCCTTCCTTTCCTGCAACCTCCTGCCTCCCCATTCGGGATGTTGAAGCCAAAAAATTAAATTGGAGTATACTTTAAACATCAATTAGACCTGAAAACTAGTGTCATTTCATGAACCACACTGTGATATGGAGAACTACACAAACAGGTATTATGAAGCTATTCTCCTAATTAGCCCATAAAATGGAAAAGATGCACATGAGGAATCAAAGCTACTTAATGTGAAGCTATTTTGCCACTAAGCTTCTAGGTCTCTTATTGTGATATTTAATACAGCCCTAGATTCTAGCAATTAAGATTCAGCAAAAGATTAGAAAGCTTTGTCCATCTCTCCCCATCCAAATGCTTTGTTCTCATTCATGACACTAAAGATAAACATTTTGCTTCTAGTCAGCTATTTCAAGTATTAAGAAAAAACAAACAAACAAAACAAGAAAAAAACCAAGAAAAATGGTCTGTAAAAGTTGAACACCCACACCTTTGCACAAATGTTCCTTCTTTACAGCCATTAAAACTCACACATGTCTTCTCATATACTTAAAATGTTACTCCAGAACTGGTCATTGCCACCTGATTTTCACCCTACAGATAGTAATTCAAAAGCATACTGTTCCATGGACAGTAAGGACATTTAGAAGATTCAGCCACTTTGCCACAAATGCCACCTGTATTTTTTATGGGTTTTGTGTATCGGATGACGATGTCAGGAACTCCCCTATACAATATACTGCACTGCTATTATTTGCTACTCCAAAGCGGGTCACTGTCTGGAAGACAAAGAAACACTCCTGGCACGGAAACACTTGGAGGAGAAAGGTGAAAAAAATTCAAGACAAATGGATCCAACCTCAAGGGCATCAGCAAACTGACCTCCAACATATTTGCCTGGGTTTCATAATGAGAGAAAGCCACATTTTAATTTCAAACAATTACAGAATAATTAAATACAATTTACAAAAACTTAGGCAACGTCGTTATGGTAGCAGTGAGGCAGTAGTTATGTTAGGACCAGATTGCTAAACTCCTACATACTCGTATGTGCCCAGGCTTTGTCCAGCTGAAGACACAATTTGGTATATTCTCTGGAACCTAAGGCTACATATAATTTACACAAAGTGGAGCAGACTGCACTGTTTTGAGTTTTAACACATATACAGACATGTTTTCAGGACAGGCAGCATATGGCTGGGACAGCTCTTAATCTGCCATGGCCACCAAGAGAAGGAGAGGATCTCGAGGACTGAAGTCCAACCAACTTACTAAATTTGCTTTGCTACTCATCTGCTTCTATGAACTTGGCACTTAAAATCTCTGGATTACTTCTTAGATGTTTCATGCATGTGGAAGCTATTGGAACACAACTCAACAGCAGGCATAGTTCTACACATATAGCTTGGTCACACTTTGCTCAGCCTTTCTTTACTATGTGAGATCTGAAAACAGCCTTGCTCTTGCTCTCTTACAACATGAGATGGCTGTTGGTCCATCAGTGCTAGACAACTGCATCCAAACAGAGTGATGAGGGCAAAGACTCACCCCATGTCATCTCGATTTCAGCCAGAAGGCTTTGGCTGTTTTCTGCTAGTGCTGGTTTTGGCTGGGATAGGGCTAATTTTCTTCCCAGTGGCCGGTATGGGGCTATGTTTTGGATTTGTGCTGCCTACAGAGTTGATAATACAGAGATGGTTTTGTTGTTGCTGAGCAGGTCTTACACAGAGGTAAGGCCTTTTCTGTTTCTCACACTGCCATGCTGGCAGGGAAGTCTGGGGTGCCTTGGAGGTTGGGAGGAGACACAGCCAACACAGCTGACCCAAACTGACCAAAGGGATATTCCACACCATATGACATCATGCTCAATATATTAAGTTGGGGGTAGAAGAAGGAAAGCGAGGACATTTGCAGTGAGGGGGTTTATCTTCCCAAGTAACCATTACACACTGATGGGGCCCTGCTTTCCTGACGATGGCTGAACACCTGCCTGCCCATGGGAAGCAGTAAATAAATTCCTTTGTATGCTTGGTTTGTGTGTGCAGCTTCTGCTTCCCTATTAAACTGTCTTTATCTCAATCCATGAGTTTTCTACCTTTTCCCTTACGATTCTCTCCCCGATCCAGCTGGTGGGAGAGTGAGTGAGCGGCTGGGTGGGGCCTGATTTCTGGCTAGGGTTAATCCATGACACCACTGCTTCCATGCAAAGGATACAAAGGACTCCAAATACTTCCTTGCTACTCACTATGCAGTGCATTAACAAGCTCAAAACCCCTTACCAGAATATCGTAAACCTATACTCATCTTGAAAGTGCTTCATGACAACAGTTTTGCTACATTTCTTATCAAATGAATTTAAACCATCTGTAACTTCAGTGTAAACCTTAGGTATCTGAAGCCTCAAATCAGGATATTGCTATCAATGGACTCACACAAAACAGGGCCATCTATAAAAACATGGTCTTGTGTCCCAAAAGACCATAGGCATACAGCTTGTGAGAACGAGCAGGATCACTATCCATTTTCTCATACCTATTCTTCTGCTAGCCAGAAATAGATTGACAGCCAGCAGCATCAGACCAGCATTTAGCCCCACTGCTGCATGAAATTGTTAGGTGCTGAAAAAGCAAAGCAGAATTAATTCTGTCTGTAACTACCTCTGAGAAAAGTGACTGGCAAAATGACCTCCCTTTCAGTCTGAGAACTCTTTAGAAAGAGGCAGATTAAAAAAAAAAAAAAAAAAAAAAGAAAAAGTGCTTACATAAGTATATTTAAGGAATGACGCCTATGAAATAGACTTTCTGAAACTAAAGTTTTTAAAAAAGGATGAGAGTGAAAAATTCCTTTTCAAGCCTTTTGCATTAGCATTCAGGCTAAATACTTTACTATTTCAACCTTCCCACCATCGTCTTCATTCATAAACTTCTAACTAGCTGCAGGTTGATTAAAAAAAAAAATTTGCTGGTGTGTGACAAGTTGAAAGTAGTACAACACGAAGGTTAAAAATTCAATGATTTTAATACAACCCCTGCTTGAGGTAATTTACCATTCATACTATTTTCATTCAATATGAGTTGTCATTTTACCAGCCCATTCTTACATAGTTCAATAATGATAAGGTTAGCTTTGAAGTGATTCTTTTATGTTAATGACATTCTCCACATGTTGGGTCATACTTCAGGTTAAAGAACTGAAAATGTAAATGAATGCCCATTAGGGTGGGTAATAGCTGATCATTAACTTTATATTTTATTAGATCTGCCAGCCTTACTCACTCTAATTAAAGGACAATGATTTTTTTTTTTATCCCCCCCCACACTACAAATGTACTCTTCAAAGTTCTATACATATATTTTTGTAACATAAATTTAGTGGGTTTATTTGTTTTTCCACCTAATTTTTTTTTCTAAGTTATATTAGTACATCAGTTAGCTGTCTTACAGAAAATTTTCATTGTAATTTAAATAAACACACTCCCAATAGTCTTATTTTCTCATTTTAGCAAAGAAGAATGCTACAGAATTTTGCAATCTGTTAATGAAAATTACAGGAAAAAGCCTAAAAAAAAAAAAATTGACAAAGTTAATTCTATTCCTTTAAAATCCTAACATTATCTTCTACTACTTTAGCCACTTTCTGAAGTAATCAGCCTACGTTGTTAATATTCATTATGCACAATAGTCTACTTACAAGTTTCCATGCCTTCATCATCATCATCTGCTACAGGTTTATCATAGGATTTGTCTATGGCAGCTCTGAAGCTTTCATTGCAGCCTCGTCCTCGGATAATTCGCGGGCGCGGACGGTGGAAGGGAATGTCACCATTCAGAGTCACCTCAGCAACGGCTGTCTGCAGGCTTTCTAATGAGCTGGATTTCTTCAGACCTAATGAAGGCCCCACATCTCTGGTTGGGGAACCTTAGTGATTTAAGGGGGGGGAAAAATGTAATTAGAAATAGTATTGAGAACTGCACGCTTGATTATGCATATCCATCCTGAAAGTCTTTGGGGACACACTTAACATTATTCACATCGTCTCTCAATAATCTGTAGGGAATTCTCCACAGATTTGTTGGTCTCAGAAGTGAATGAGTATGTCAAGTCACAGTCAACGAAACAGACAACATTAGCAATGTCTGGTTTTTCAAATCAGTGAAGAGAGACCAACATCCATTACTATTATTTTAAACAATTTAAATGATAAAGAAACCATGGGGCTTTAAAAACATAGCTCATAAAAGCAACAGAGATGCATATCTAATGGAATTAAACAAAACTATTAATTATTTTTTATTTGAACAGAAAATTTCATCTGTACTAGCAACTGATGAACAGAGAGCAGATTATGGGCATGAATCCTACTGTGTTTAGAGTAAGAGTCTTGCAAAGTAGCCTGACCTCTGCCATCAAAGAACACACTGTTTGTTCAAGTTTTGAAGACTTGCATCAAATTGCTAACAATTTCATAATTAGATGTTCTAAGAAGTATCAGTTGACTTGCTCAGATTTTGTGAAATTGCCTAAAAATAATCTGTGGAAAGGACCCAATTAGACAGGCAACACCAGTTATCCAGTTGGAAAAGAAACACACTCCTGGCAGTCACCATGTTGAAGTTTGGGCAGTATTACAGCTGGGGTTGAGGGCAGCTCTTATCGCTGCAGCATGTCCAGAAATGTGCCAAGTAAACCCCTGAGCAGTATTCTTTCTGCAAAAGCTTTTTTCCATCTGGATTTTTCTTCTCAGGTTTGTGGACTAAATGTATAGCCTCTGTTCTTAGGTACACTGTCACAGAACAAATCACATGACAATTGTACAAATTAGATCTCATATTAAAGTTAAAACTGGGAGAAATTTTTCAAGGTGAGGGGAAAATCACTGCACTTATTTGAAGTGATTTTATTCAAAAGTGCAGTACAGTCTTGGCTAGATTTTGCACAGGATTTGGGAACGGAGAGCAAGATGAGGTGCTACAACATCACCATGGCTACATTTCCTGAAATTATGAGACCAGAGCCCTCTCTACCCAAAGGGAACAGAGCAGATAAATGTTGTGGCACCACAGCAGTCCAAGTGGTGGGTTGTTACTTAGTTGACATCAGTATCCTTATCTGACAGAGGCACAGAAAGATAAATTTCACAGCCAGACACCAATGAGAGACAGAGCTAAGACCTGGTATACCTCCAGGTATACCAAACCTATGAAAGGTACATTAGTAAGTATGGCCTGGTGTGAATAAAAGTGTAATAAAGGAAAACTTTTCATAAAGTATTTATCTCAGAATAATATAAAATTCTGAAGTTGATCCCTATTGTGGTAGATATTAGGAGAGAGAAGAGGGGCAGTATCAGTCACTGCTCTTTATGAAAGGTATGTGAAATTACCTTAAAATGGGGAAAACTGTTACTAGCCTACTAAAACTATTCAGTATTGGTTGGGGAAGAAGGGGGTTACTGGGCCCACAGAAAGGATGCAGAATAGCAGCATGACAAGTCTTCTCCATATAATTTGTTAACTTGGTAGGAGATGCAAAACAGCAAATGCCTTCATTTTCTATTCAGCTATGAAAAGTCTGAGAAATTACATTAAACTGAAATCCCTCGGATCAAATAAATTCAAATAACAGCTGCCAAAGGATTCTCCTTCAGCTGACCTACTGATGAGATGAACTTGTAAACAGAAACAAACCAAAAATCCTGTCTCACAGGTCTACACAACTCCTGTAGTTTGATTCCGCCAGCAGTCCATAGACCTGCTGCTTGGACCCTTGGCCGAAAATAAACACACCCCAACAAATGAGAACTTTTATCTTTATGAACTCACATCTCCTAGAAGAAGCCATCCTCTCACTCGCAGCCTGTATGTGTTGGAGGGCTGAGGGCCATGAGGATGGTTGGGGCCAGAGTGCAATGGCCAGCCGGGACCAGGAAGGGTTGGTGGCTTCCCAGCTGTGCTAACAACCTGCAGTCCAGGGTCACCAAACTTCTGATCATGGGCTGAAGTCTCGGAGAAGCATTTTACATAACATTCTCTTTACCAATTAAAAGAACTCCAATTAAGACAGTTCCCCATAAAAATGTCCACTTTCCAGTTTATGCCAAATCCTACTATTCCTACACTAAAGCCTGCAGTACACAAGAAGTGAGACTTTATTTTGCTTTTTACTTTTCAAGACTGTATTTTTTTAAAACAGTTCATGAGAAAGAAAAAAAATGGATGCAACATTTTGAAGGAAAAAAGAGGAAACAGGGCAATCATATATAAACCAGCTGTTCGACAGCTTCAATTTCATATACAAAAGAAAGAGTATCCTCTTACATGGCAACTTACTGTAAACTTCCTTATTCCACATTCTGCTTTGCAATCTTCCAAATAAAATTATCATGTATCTTTTCCTAATTACTGAGTGGTTCTTTTTCTAAACAGTAATTATAAAGAAGGCATTTATGTGCCCATTTATGTTCATAAAGGACATTAGGAAAAATTCCATTTACTGACACCCAATACAGATATTTGTGGGAACTGCACATGCGTAAGTTGTGTTTTCCCGAAGGAAAAGCTAGATGGGATATGACCTAATGTTGAGTACTGTAAAACTAATAATAGATTACAGAAATGATAAGAATATGTATTGAACTTTGGTGGCCATCAACACAAATGTGAACAGGTTGCAGAATCTGAAATGGGGAAATCTCCTTTCACAAACCATTTCAGTACTGTGATCATAAAGCTATGTATATTTTAATACCTTCACTATCTTCTATGGCTACTTCATAGCAAGTCTACTATTTTCAAAATATATAGTTAAGTCTCCCTGTAAATTAAGTGAGTTAAGAATTTATTACTAGAATTCACCAGCCAGAAAGTGAGTTGTTTACTCATAATCTGGTAAGAAAAAGCAAACTTTCTTTAAAATGGATTCTGTTTAAAATTTATGAGTCACATCAAAACCTTGTTTTCTAAATACAAAAATGTCAGCATTTTCCTCCAGCCTTTACAGCACTGGTGGTAATCATCAGAAATGTTATCTGCTCAGAATGAGTTCTATTTTGACACCGGAATTTAAAGTAGCAAAAAAAAAGAGAGGAAAAGACACATCTACCTAAAGCATATTTATATGACTGAGGATGAAAGGGATCCTTTTATCGTTTCTAAAATTTGAAGTTTATCAAAATTTCCCATTCCAACGATTTCCTTAACAAATACCCTTTGAGGTATCTTCATCCCTCTGCAGCACAGCAGTCCTCCTGCCACCACGTGCAGAGTCTCCTCGTGCACTTGGCTGTACTGCTCTGCTCTACACACCCCTGTCCATCTCTTAAGTGCTCTGTGACATGCCCACACCACTCTGCCAAGCACAGCCCTGCCCACCACACACGCATCCCCACTCCCTGTGTCCCCTCCTGGCCACGCGGCCACCCACCCCCTGCTCATGCACGGCCGTGTGTGCCAGTTGTCACACGTCACTTCACAGCACCTACAGATCCAAGGAGACATTTAACACACAAACATCACATGGAGCCTATGTGCTGCCCCCCACTCCAAGTCCTTTGTCTGTCCCTTGCACTGACACTGTTCAACATCTCATTGTGCTTCCAATTATCTCACCTTATGTGAATTATTTATACAGTGACACACATCCGCTTGGGCCATTTGCAAAGGCAAAGCTCAGGGTGTCAAAGGCTATGTGATGTTTCCTCCAGTGAATAATTTTTGTCAATAAGGTAAATTTTTCATCAGCACATTCTTTTAAGTCATTTAAAATAACAATTTGTTTCCTTTCTGAAATATTACTTTTATGAACTGTCAAGTAAATGCTACCTGCAACTGATGCCAAAATCTTCTCTGGATTTGATTTAGCCCATTTTCCAAAGGTATAAAGTCTATTTTCTAAACACTTTCTAGAAGAACATTAGCAGTCATTCTATTTACTTACTAACATCTGCTCCATTACATCTGATAAATTCTTCCATTTCTAGTTTAACTCAAACACTTCATCTGGGGAGAGCAGGGGAGGAATAAAGCAAGAAACTGCATTAAAAACAGTTTAGTTTTGGTTCCATTTAATGAAACAGTTTACTTAAAAAGCACTGTGTAAAATAATAAATAAATAATTTAAATAAATGTTCTTTGATTTTTTTTTCTTTCTTTTTCATTTTCATATTGTGTACATGGAAAAATAACCACCCAGAGCTATAGTATGCCTGGGACTCTATAAATGAGCCATACTCAATTGCTACTGAATATACTTCTAACCTCTAGAATGAACTGTAAACACTGCAAGGATTAGGTAATTCAAGTGAACTATAGAAAGAAAAATAATTAAAAAACTATTACAGTAACTAGGGCTGGTGAGTTTCATGCTCTCCTTTTCAGCCAATACTATTAAGTCCAACTGTGACAGTAACAGAGTTTGTTTTTATCTTTTCTAAAGTAAATATATGTTGAAGTTTTCTGGCTTCTAGAGTTCATTAAATGTTCACCACACATTTGAAGCATTTTTTTTTTCCTAGAACCAGACAATTTTTAAGCCAAACTACAGTAAGTGGTTTGTTTAACAGCCACATCCATCTTCAGTAATGGGAGAAATCCAGTGTTTATATACAAAACCTGGTTAAAAGTATGCAAGATAAATAAAATAAAAGTACAGTAAAAGGTGTTTTTTCCTTTTTTTCCAGCCAGTGAACTTTCCATGCACAAAATACGTAACTACCTAGTCCAGCTGGTATAGTCATGCTCTTTCACCCATGTTGTCTGACTTTTTTCTTTTTTGGAATTTAATCCAGGTGTTACACATAGAGAAAAACTACACTCAATTCATACCACCCTCTATTTGATACCACCAAAATGACTGTGTACTTTTAAAACCTAGGCATCATATTTTACTAAAACACACAGGTTTTATACCATTCTAATCAGATCCCATTCAAATAGGTAGGTTAATAAGAAAATTAAAAATAATTTATAATAATTATGAGTTTGATCTTTAACTCCTTTTTATGTGAATAATGCTCAGGGGTGAAGGCAGTTCCTAAGCACTGATTATTACCACAACCATTAACACAATTCATACATTCACACTCTGATGGTTTTAATCCTCCAAAACATTCATACATTTTAATTTTGTGTACTCATTCTTAATTTGTAAAGCTGCAAGTCTGTGGCCGTATTCTTCAAAATTTTAAGAGCTAGAAGACTTAGCTGTTCAAATAAAAATTGTAATTTTATCAGTTGATTACTTACAGCTTTTCAGTATTCCTACTCATGTTATAAAGTCCGGTTAAACAGAGACGTAGTTGTGAATTAGTAATTGTAAATTCTGTATGGAATGTGCTACTCCTTAAATCATGCTAAAATAAATAATATTTTCAGGTTAAAAAGGTGAATTGTTCCTAATTAGAGCTAAGTAATGTTATGGTGTCCTCTGGATCTAGCCTAATTAAAATAGCATTCCATAGGTCAAAGGCTAACTTATATTAATAAATCATAAAGGTTCATAATTGCAGTTGGTGCATTATTTTAATTACTAATAAAAATATGCATTGAAAGCTATTTCTCATTATCATTTTCTGAAACACTACAATGAATGGTATGTGGAAAAGATTCTATTTACATATTCTTTTGTTCTTTTACGAGGCTCAGGTTTCAGCTCCAAAAGCAAATCAACTTGCACAAATAATCTTCAACTCAGCACACAACATGTATCTGATGACCACTTAAGGCCAAGGCAGCAGTTTTCTAATTAAAATAATTATTTTCAAGCACTGTGTTAGCACTGTAATAGCCAAACACTCGACTCCTCCAAATCATCTATTCCATGCATTTCAGTTTGAAGCTAGGAGGAGGTTTTCCAAGATTTCTTTTGAAAGGACAAAAAACTTCAAACAACTCCAAATATTTATGAGTTCAAAGTGTAGAAACAGGTGTCTGCCTACAGTCACATGCATGACCTGGTTGAATATAATACCCTAGATACTTATCTCCATAGAAAATTTTCTTTTTCTGTATGACTTGATTATTCACAACAATAGAAAGCAGCCATGCAAGTACTGGAATATTCATGTTTTCATGCAATTTGACTGGCAGTTCTGTAATTGTGGTAAGCTGCTTTGACCAAGGTTTCTATAGCAACAGCCTTACTGTCAATTCTTACCTGTTTTCTGGTCATCCATTGTACTGAGCTTAGTCTCGTCAGCTACTGTTAAAAGGTAAATGCATAACGGTTAGCCCAGTTAGTGCCCATGCCCCACATGCATCCAACATTCCTCCTGTTTTGCCTTTTCTTTTTCAAGTTAGAGGACCTTAGAAATGTCACACTTCATGCAAATAAACTGCAACAGTAAGCAAACATTCTGGGTAGAAATGGCAGCAAACTAGTAACCTTCATGCAATGTCAGTCATGTTCACATCACAGGCAGGTACAATATGTTATTTACACGTTAGCACATTGCAACTAGTCAAGGCAAGTAATACCACCAACCTTACTGAACGCTGAGGAAGTTGGTGAATTAGGGATTGTAGGTATGATATTCACAACTATTGTAAAGGAGTGAATTGCATTATAATTGCATTATATTTTATTGTTCCAGAGTAAAGAATTTTGTGTGTTTAATCAATCAAAACTCCCTGTTTAAGGTTACTAGAGTCCACAAATCAGAATCTAAATTCAATGGCAGAAAAATAGATGGGCTTGTTAGCAATTACTTATTCTCAGTTGGTTTATGAGTTAAAATTATCAGCTGATTGCCTGTCTTAGCTGTGGCCACTTTATAGGGCTTCTGATATAAATATTAAAACTTGGATCTCAAACAGATGTCAGACTCGCCCCATTTTCTAATTTTGAATTCATCTACAAAATGAGAGACTCTGAAGGACATTTAAGGCTAACTGCATTACAACAATGAAGTGAGAATAAACCTGGCTACACAGAACCACAGTGAGGTACAGTTTTACACAGTTATTCTAAATGGATTGGTAAAATGCACTTTTCACCTCCATTTTAATAAATAGTATTTATTATGTTTATGCATAACCATATATCCAGAGGGCTACAATGTTTGAGTGTATGGACATTTACAAACAACAAACAATACACAGGCCACTTGGCCATTTAAGTTAGTATTTTTCTTCCCACAAGTAGACACTATGTGCAGTAGTAGTGCACATACACAATATGTTTGGAATTACAAAATCTATATACTTACAACATGAAAATCAGGTTCAAATAAAAAAAAATTGAAAAAATATCACTCACTACCTAGATCCATGCTTTTGGATTTTCGTGTTTTAACAAACTCCAACTGACTGGCATCTGAAAATTGCTTTGTACGCTTTTCTGACATGCTCTGGCGTCCAAAACCCTCTCGCTGGAAGGCAAGCACTGGATCAACATCTGGACTAAGAGTGCTGTAGGAAGGGAAAAAAATCATGCGAACATTTATCAAGATCACGCAACCTTTTACTCTTCAGAGAAAAGCATTTATTTAGCACGTGACTTCTACCAATGATAAAGTACACAGTTTTAAATAAACCACTGCAAGTATTCAGTTACACACACAATGGATTTGGTTTACTGCATCAAGCAATTCTAGTTAAAAAGTATCAAGAATTTCACTTAAGAGCTAAATGAAAGATATACATATCTGATGCACTATACATATACTATCAGAACATAAAGCCCAATATAGGAATAATTTGAGGGAGAATAAAACAGTTCCTTTTGCTTCCTAAGAAACATATATATATTGTACTGATAGAAAATTATGAGATTTTTCTTCATCGAAAAATGTTTTTAGTAAAGAATAAGTAGAATCTGTCCTGCCTGAGGCCCACAGCTTTAAAATTCTTCATTTAAAGACTTTGCATCAAAATTTCTCTCCATATGTGAAATTGCTTGTAAATTTTTCACAGTTTCTCTTGCTTTTAACCTGGCTATGACAGACAACCATATTTTTACCCATTGTTTCCCTACAGAACAAGTATTCATCACAATGGATCTACCACTAAATCCGAAACAGGGGTAACTGTTCTGAGTTTTGGTTTCTTCTGAAGGTTTCTGATGTGACCTTGGCTGAGTGAGTCAGGACTTCAGTGAGCTTCATCAGCAGCATGCCAAAAGTAGACTTACTAATGTTGGTCAAACACTGGCAGAATCATGAATGTAAGCAAAATTTGGTGTGCAAGCTAAACCCTAGGCTTGCAATGTGTCACCATGGCCACAGCACATGTTAAAAACAATTTAAAAAAAAAAAAAGTAAGATTGCCTATTGCTAGTAAACAGTATGAAAGGAAACACAGAAAGATCTTTGACTCCTGGAAAAGGGCAGAGTATTTAAATTTCTATTTCAGCTGGCACAAAAAGAAACCAAAAGCATCAAATACTGAAAAATACTGAAAAATTAGTATTTTGCACCATTGTTATCTATCCTATAAGAAAATGATCCCTCAAAATCCCCCCTTTGATTGTTGTTGTACTTTAAGATACAAAAAAGCTAAGCAATTTGTCACTGAGATCTCTAAGTAGATCTCTAAATGTCATTCAAAATACTGTGTACACACATCTGTTTGGTACCACATATTTTTTACTATAAGGGGTAAGTACAATACACATCTCATTCCTAGTGAGAAACAGGCAAATAGCGAATTTCTGCAGAAACCAACTTATACTTTTAAATTCTGTAATATGTACATGTTTATGTATGCCATGTACTATAATTTACAGAAGCATCTTTGATCAAGAAACACCTGGGCATTAGGCACAACAGGAAAAAAGCGCCCACACAAGGAAAAGTGTCCAAAGGCATGAAGGACAATAAAGGACAAAAATCACTATCCACATTACCAGGCAGCTGAGAAGAGATTCAGTTTAGTAATGGCAGATTTACCAATAATAATATATGTGCATGTGACAAGCACATAATACTTCAGTGTGAGCAGGATCAGAGCTTATATGAATAAAACCAATGTCAAGTGCCTTTTGACTTTAATGTTTCTGGCTCAGGCTCATAATGTTTTACATTTAATTACTGCAACTATTTCAGAGATGTCTGCGCAATTTAGCAACATTTTGAAGCATATGCTTAAAAGCTCTGATGAATCAGAGACCAAACTCAAAAATAACTATTTAGTCCTCACATTCACTCCCACAAAACAGGGAAAAAATTATCTCCACATGACAGAAAGATAAAATAGTCAAGGCCAATATACTATTCTAGCATTTACAGCAATGTAACACATAGCTGAATAAGAACGACCTAAGTCTGAAACGTCCTCCAAAGTGACTCAAACAGAACTCACTGGGTTTCAACACCTTTCATAATCAGATTATAACTGACTTTCCCAAGGCCACACAGGAGTTTCTGGCTCACTGCTACACAGTCCTGTCTCTGAAGGCCAGCAAAAATGTGGTTTTACTAAGTGAGAACTTTTTTCCAGCAACATTTGTTAGCACCATTCACATTTGTTAAAGATGACCAGCTTCATTTAGCTGAACAAAATGTATCCTGTGACACTTTCTTCAAAAAGGGTGAATTTCTAAAACTATTTCTTTTGGCTGTATGCTTCTTTTTTTCATATGAGCTTGCTTTGATCCATCTCTATAAAGCTTCTAATAGAGCTGAATATCATTTCCATGTAAACATAGCACACACATACATATTAAACTTGAAGTCCTAAGAACATACTAAAACTCCAAAGTCAAATATAACTTGAAAAGGACACCACAGGTTCCTGAGAGTAGTGGGCCTGGAGATGGCATCAGCAACTGGGAATGTGGGAGATTGGATCCCAGCATTGCCACTGACACTACCTTTAGGGACTTTCTGCTTCCTCGATCTGCCCTTCTCACACTTCCCCTTCCACATACACTTATTAGGGGAATTATTATTCCATGTTTACATAGTATCCTGCACACTAAAGGTGCTACTTAGCACCTTTATCTGAGCCCTATGAAGAGTTATCATTTTTCATGTCCTGTTTGACTTCTATTATTAATGACCCATAAGCATGTTTTAGTAATTAAAGAAGAAGCAGATCTCACAGGAGTCTGAATGCATGTATATTGTGTAAAAGTATTCAAAAGTCCACACGAAGAGCCACAACTGCAAAAGCCAATGAGCACAGAAGAGGAACTAATGCCCTTAAAATGCCTCATTTTAATATTTTTCAACTACATCAACAAAAGACAGAAGGTGAATTTAGTGCAAGTCATTAAGCAATGCCAAATGCAATTTACTATATTCTAGCATACTTAACAAATAAGATTTCTGGAATGACAGCTGATCCTTAAAAGAATGTAACCGTCTTCTGACCCTCAGTGTTATTAAAATTCCACTTATTAATCCTGTCTTATTGCCCCTTTGTTTTCATAACATTTTCATCAAGGATTAGGGAGATATTGTGAGGCTGGAAAAGCTTACATTTTCTTCTGTGATTCAGAACAGCTGCCATTCTTGTTTGGATAACCCTTCATCCATATTCTTAGTTTTACCCTTTGTGCCTTCCAGCAAAATCATACAATGCACCTTCATTTTACAAGTCTTCCTTCATCCATTAGCAACAGGAAATTAATGCAACACTCTAATTCTAGTGCTATTTACTTTTTTTTACAAATAGAATACATTAGATAGTAAAGTATGGAACTGATCTACTCTTTTAAGTGCCATTATATCTGAAGACCTTTACAATTTCTCATACACGTTTAAGGTTTTTGAGCACGATCAATTCCTCAATATCTAATCCCTATTTTCATGACTGTTACTTTCATTTACAAAGTATATGAATAGCAAGACATGCTGCAGACGTCAATGTAAAAGCATCTGCATGTTTCAAATGGGTTTTTATTTTATGTAATAGGTCTTTACTCATATTTGGCTAAAAAACCCACCCTCAGCAATAAGCTATTATGTGCAGGCTTCAGTACTATTCTATTTAAATGTCTTAGATACTCAGCTCTAAAAGCTTTTGCAAAAGTCAAATGGACTTTTCATGGGCCCAAATTACAGGTATGAGTTGTCCACGAGAAGAACTGCAACATTTGAAAAAAAAAAAAAAAAAAGGCAAATGAGGATGAAAAAGTTACCTTTTTATGCAATCATTAAAACAGTACTTAAAATATGGAACTCAGTTCCTAGGTATAAGATGAAATAAACTAGTATAAAGCAAAGATTCAGCTGACAGGTGCATATCAGCTGGCAGGTGATATTGCTGTTTTATTAAGATATTGCTGACACACTCATAACAGGCTCAAGGGACAAGAAAAATAAGAAAATTCATATACTTCACACCATTCATGGTAATTATCTAGCTTCAAGAAGTGGCAGTGTGCAGGGGTGGGCACTTATTTTGCTATTAATTTTGCTATTAATATAGATAATTACAGGACTTGCAAATTAAATCTTAGATCTGTATTAATTGTACTAACTAACCAATAAACAGTATTTCTTTGCCAGAAACCTAAGCAAATAAATAATGGAGCTCAATGCATTTCTCATTAAGACTCTTTTATTAAAACGTATTAAAGTAATGGAAGAGTCAACCTAAGATTCCCAACAATTATTTTTACTATGGATTAAACATATAAAATTACTATCCATAGTTTTAAATGTGCAACTATTACTTTCCAAATATTTAAATGTAGAGCTATTACAATACATTGTCTTTGCAAATCATATAGCAATATGAATGGTATTTCGTCACACGTAATGAAGAAAACTAGTTTTTTTTTCACACAAGCATTAACACTAAGGAAAAATAAACATCTGCTTTGATCTCTAAGCAGATTTTAAAAGTACTGTACATTATTAGGAAAAGCAATGAAGTATACAGAAGTATTGAAAAGCTCCTATATGCAATATAAAAAATAAAATGTTTGTTTTATAGACTTAGAAATATTTACAGTGAGGTTTATAAATTAAAATTTCCAATCAGTCTTTCATAAACTCAAGTGTTTAAATTTTGCAAAATTTTTTTGACAAAAGCTAGCTCAGTTGTCAATTAAATCAATATTAAATCATCAAATTAGGACAGCTTTATACTGATTTTTTTCTTAGTAACATTTCCATAAATACGCTTTAACACAGTACAACACTGCAACTAGAAGTATTTGTGAAGACTTCCCTCCTGAAACAGGGACAATTACCAGTTTGAAAACAGTAAAATCCAAATGTAATGAAAAAAATAATATTAGCAATAACTAAAAATGTAACTAAAGGAAAGGATGCAATCACAGCTATCTCTTTTTCCTTCCACCAAACCATGCTCTTACCAGTCTGTTGACTCACTAATTGCAGCTTTAGCCCATCCACCAGTATCAACAGTGCCAAACCCAACATCATCATGGGAGCTGGATGATGACTGGTCAGATAGATGAGGAGGAAGGACCGACAGCCTGTCATCTTCAATAATGACAGTGTCATCTTGAGGCATGTTCACTGTTGGAGACAGCTGATATTTACCTGAAAAAAAGGAGAAACCCCCCCAAAACTAAATATTGGCAGAGAGTGCAGAGAATGCCTTGAAAAATATATAATCAAGAGCTGATCAAAGGTCACGTCAAACTGCAGTGCAACTGAAAAGAGTGACATAATGCAGACAACAAAATTAACTATATATTCCTATACAGAGGTCTGAACAACATCAGTTGTATCTGTGGCCTACTGGAAAAAGATCACAGTGTCACAGAAGAGCTGAGGTGTGAAAGGCACCTCTCATCTGGTCCAACCCTTCCTGCTCAAGCAAAGACACCTACAGCCAGTTGCCCAGGACCCCAGTCAAATTGCTTTTGAGTACTTCTCCTCCACCACCTCCCTGGCACTCTGTGCCAGTGCGTGGTCACCCTTACAGTAGAAAATGTTCAGAGGGAACCTCACATGTTTCTGCCTGTGCCCGTTGCCTCAGATCCTGCCTCAGGAACTGCTGAAAAGCACCTCTCCCATAAGACAGTAGTTCCTCTTGCATCACATCATTTAGTAGAAACAAAGAATGAGTTCAACAAGGTCTAACAGAGCTCATCACTTCTTTTGGTCAGTCTTGCCCCCACGAAACTAGAAACTGTTCAACTGCTGCTGGGAAGTCAACACATGCAAAACTTGGAAAAAAATTACCAAATTCTATTACCACCAAATTCAAATAAGTTTTAACACTGTTGCTAAAATGCTTAAACTAGAACTATCATATACAGGAAAGGGACATAATAAAGACTACGCATTAGTCTTTGCTCAGTGTCAGACTTCATTTGGTTAATTTGTGAGGGGAGAAGTTAAAAAATTATATGATCTTACTAAAACAATTAGTAAATTGTCACATCTCATGAGGAGAAACACACTAGTTTAATCAACCATTAATCTGTAATATCTAGATTAATAATCTAGAATAAACTGTAAATTATTCTAAAACTATGATGCACCAGAGTAATATATTGCAAAACTTCTATTTCCATAACCTAAATTGCTTCTATGGACACATCAATTATTTCCATCCTTTATTTTTCCTATAGATATGGAAAACTTGTGTAGAATTAGGGGAAAACAATTATTCCCCTTTTCTGGAAAGGTTTCAGTTACCATCACTACCCTTGCATGCAATCATTACAAAACAAACGAAAAACCCAAACTTTATGTTTAAAGAGCTAGCTAAGATCCTCACTGAACTAGATAATACATATTGCACAGTTTTCCAAAAAGGGGAAAACTGGCTTCAAAAAAGATCATTAAAGAAGGCTGAAAAAGTGGTTGGAAGAAAAAGGTACTGCAAAGTGAATGTCTCATCACTGACAAACTGAAATGAATGTATGCAGTTTGCATAACAGCTGATTCTGCCCAGTAATAGTTCCTTTGATGGACAGATTAATGTTTAGCCTGGTAATGTACTTCTTTCCAAACATAATGCCTACAAGACTGTTAACTCTGTAGTTAATAACGTCCCCAAAGAATTGATTGTTAAAAGGTATAACCTTATGGCATTCGGCAGATTGAACTTCCCATGTGAGAGGCTACAGTAATTCAGTAACATTCTTAACTTTTCACTACCCTTCTTTATATCTGACAAGGGTGAAGACTGACATTTTAATAGTTGCTTTGGAATTTAGGAGAAAACCCATCTGACGTGCCTATGCTTTTCATTACAAATGAAGCTAAAAACAGGTGAAAGGCTTCACCTCCAGCAGATGGTTAGACAAACCTCAGCAATGGACTCAATACATCCTTTGTGGAGAACTCAGCTGAAGTGGACAGAAAACACCCCTGGAGAATTAACTCCGCAAGTGTTGGGAGATGTGTTACAAGGAAACATCAAAGAAACTTCAAACCCAGTAATCATCAGTATATTTGACTGATCTACAAATCTAAGGCATTGCTCAAGCTGTCTACAAACCTCTTCAAGGCAATAATTTTCCCTCAGGCTAGAAAAGTGCTATAAAATTTAGACTCTGAATACATTTCAAGTCCAGTTTTGCATATATTAATTCAAGTTCAGTGAGGTAATCTGTAATAACATAAAGTATTTTGGACAGTGTACTGAGCCAGGGAAAACATTCTCCCTGTCTCATCTTAGGGCAATGATGCTCAAATTTCTTGGACAAGTTAACAATCTAAAGAAGCATAGCAAACCACACCAAACTATGGGATAAGAAGGGTTCCCATCTGCCTGTGCAAAAAAAGAAGTCTCAGAGCTCCAGTACCAAATAGCTGGTCTCCAGGTCCACGAAGATTTTCACCTTAGAAGTTAAAATATGCCAAATGGCAACACTTCAAACCTACTATACACCTATAATAGACCAGAAGATACTCTGGACCTGAATTAAACCACCAACATAAAGCACTCAAAAAAACCCTTGAGCATACACAGTGCATAATATGAACAGCAGGCCTATTCAAGAAGAACTAAACTGTTTTGGGCCATTTCAAATCTTGAAATACCCTGAAGTAAAGTTAATAAGTTTGCTGGGATAACTTGGCTCCCATACTGCCACTTCACTGTCATAAAACTGTATCTGGCTTGATCCCTGTGCTTTTGCTATTGCTTTCTCTTTAAAGTATGGTCTACAAAATCTGTTGAACAGTCTCACTCTATGTTCAAAACCCAGTATTCCTTTATGAATGACTCATGAGCATTTTGATACTATGGGATTCAGACCAATTGGACAACAGATGCCTGGGGAATGTCTAAGGACAAGAATTTTTCCATTGTATCCAGGTCTTGGATCTGTCAACTGTTGTATCAGAGCATCACATTGTGATGAGATTCCTGGCCAAGGAACTACATTCTAATTGTAAAGGGTTGTTTTCATTTCAGTGACACACACACTCTACAACTCTAACTAAATTTTTGTCAGTAGTGCTTCCTCCTGATTCTATCCTTAAGACAGCAATTATTTATGTAGAGAACAAAGTATTTCTTGTTGTGCAGGAACCATTAAATTTCTGGGGGATCCTTCAGGATGAAAGGCAGATTCAGTGCAAGCAATTGTTATTCTGTGCATCCCCTGATAACTAACTTCTGTTTAGTCACCGTTAGCAACAAAACCCACCACGTTCATAAAAAAAATATAAGCAACTAGAAGAAAGAGATGAAAGAGGACTTTGTACTAAGCTGTTTGTTGTATAAGAATAATTTATTATAGACAGGAGCTATGTGTTTGTGTATTGCAAAACTCAGGAGCATAATGCATGATACACAAGAAAGGTGTATCAAAAGAAGAGACTTGAATTTTTAATTATAGAGTCAAGCAAACCAGTATAACACAGTTGTAATTCTGAATGTGCTAACAGCATGCAACCTGAAAGTATTAAAATAAACAAACAGAAGGGTTTAATACAACCATCTAATTCTTAAAAGAAAATACCTAATTTGTATAAATAAAAAAGCCTCATCAAAACCAAAAATATTATTCCCTGAATACAGAAAGTTATATCTTTTCTCCATCAGAAATTTTCACAGAAATATTATCAAATGAAAAAGCTCAACAAAATCTATAATAGCAATAATCATCTAAAAAAGTAGATCAGCATAAGAATCATCAGAAACATTAAAAGATTCATGTAGCCTTTTTGCAGTAAGCAAACATTATTTTACATAATTTAAATCATGTTGTAAAATTGGTATTTTATTCTTACTCTCACAGCAAGGCTCTGACAACCAGTTCTTGCTGCCAGTTATGGATTGAAAGAGTAAGGAAATTGTCTTAAATACCTTTCCTGAAAATTACATTAGTGCATTTAAAAGAAACAAAACTCTCTTAAAAGCTTCCTTCCAACTTTAAGTAATGACAAAAACCAGCAGGTATCTTCTAGACTTTGAGATTATTGCTTTTGAATAGACTAGCTTAGGAAGGACTCAAACCCATCAATTTTATCCAATAGCAAAAGCAGCAGAAGGATCTACTCCTTCACCCATGAAACAAGCTGTGACCTCCTCACTAATAAGTAGTGAGAGCACTAAAAGTTTACACAGTCAAGCCCATTGAGGGGTAAATAAAAAGACATCAGTTGATTCAGAGAGCCCACAAGTCAGAGGGCTCCTTGATATGAGGAGAACCCTCAAGGGAATCAGCACAGCACAAAGCACTCCTTTTGGCTTGTTTTCATGGTCAGGGAAGGTATAGACCTCCTGTCTTCCTCAGCCAGATTGTTCTTAGGAGTAACCCCCACTTTTAGGCCAATTTTCAAGAGAGAAAAAAACTCTGGAAGAGTCACGTAACATATTTTGTCAAGAAAATAAAAAAAGCCCTGAGTTTTTTCTCATTATCAATGCTAAAAGGACAGGAATTCCACTGCATAATAAATGATTGGGTCTTATAAATGTTAGCTATTCTGAAACAAGCAACTGAATCTCTCTCTTGCAACAGGTTTTCTGTCATCTTTCTGTCATCTGGCACTGCAAGAAAACTTGCATGCAATAATAACACAAAAGGTTGTGAACACTGCAGTTTTAACTTAGTGGTACTGATTAATTCAGAAAAATTTATTAGAAAACTGACTGTTCCCTAAAAACTAGGTTTATACAGCTCTGTGAAGCTGCAGAAGGGAACAGCCCAGTCAGTTCTGGCAAGACCACTTTTTAGTTATGCTCCACTAGATCACATTTACTATGGGGTTCAGGCTCAGTTTGATTTTCATGTGCTTGCACTAAAGCCTCAATGGATTTAAGTCACAACCAACCAATTTTCTACATAGTTCCTGGTTCCTGAAAATAATACGGAAAAATCACAATTCACAGGAAATCAAAACTTGATCTTCAAGTTATAAAAAACTTAGAAAATGCCGGATGGATTTTCTTTCCCCTATGTTTACAATGCAGAGGTATCTAAAAGCATTAGGTTTCAAAAGCTTTGGAAAGACTTTTTTTTCTTTTGTTGAAACATCAGTTACTTTCTACTGCTAAAGAGATGATACCAGACTGATGAACTACTAGTTCGATTTGGCATGGCAAGTTCTGTGTTCCTTTGATGTGGAAGTAAACTGCATTGCTGACACACATGCACACAGACTCTCTGAGTTTCTTCTCCCATCAATGGACAAGGTGTTTAAGCGATAACTTGTTAACGCTTATATGAGCTCTGTGTGTAAATCCTCTGCAGCACTGATGGAAAAAGCAGAATGTATTGCTTTACAAATGCTTTATCTAAAGCCTTGACAACACAAGAACTAGTTCTTTCTATGGTAGTGCTAAAGACTCCAAATTATTTTATCACTCCTTAAATTTGTTGACAAGTAAATATTTTTTTCTAAGTGTTTCTCTTTAAGAGCATATGACCTTGGGTGAAAAGGTTTCACGCTTCCTTGATTTTCATGTACACAATTTTTCTTCCAAGCTGCACAAAATGAAATGCAATAGAACAGAATATTTGTTTCCAATTACTGTTGCCCAAACACACACATAAAAAAAAGACAGAAGATTTAATGAAAGAAATACCTAAACAACAAACTTGTGGATTTTCAGAGAATTCAGTAGCAGTCTTATTCTGTTACCACAAAGAAAATGCAAACCCTAAAATATAAAAAAATTTTAAAAAAGAAACTCCAAAACAGGGTGAAAAATATACACAAACTATTTACTGGAAAAAGTCTAAGTGGTAGACTTTAAATTTCCTGAGGCTGAAAATCAGTCTCAAGCAATTAAAAACTATGTTCAGCCTTGCTTCATATCAAGTCTATAGCAGCATTTTCTAATATATTCTGTGTATGTAAGACACTAAAAAAAGTCCCAGATTTAAGGGACACATCTTCTGTTTAAAACTTGCAACTCAAGCAAGCAACTGCTGCGTCTTCTGTCAGGTGCTATTTTCATCAAGCTGCTTTTTGTGTTTAAATTTGAAAATCCTTTCAAACTAATCCCATCCTAGTCAGTAAATCCAGCCACTCCTGTGGCAAGGTAAGTCTTTATTACCTAGCTCTGTATATCGGAAGTTGAATTGCTGCAGAGCAACTGCTAATAACCTCATTATCCACTGGGACCATGCAGATGGTATGGCACAGAATCTACATAAGGGATGCTTAAAATTAGTTATGAGGCTTTAAAATTGCTGTCCTGCAAAGCAAAAATTCAAACAAATTAATGAAATGCCCTAATAAGCATAAATGGATGCAGGTTTGCCTTATTTACTTATTTTTGTGGTTTAGTAGGACTGAAACAAAGGAAAAGAAATGTTGGGAAAAAATCATAAATTCCCAGGAGTCACTGACTTCAATGTGATTGAAGACTCGACATGGAGCCTAGAACAACCAATAATTTATTGTCCCAAACCAGACATTAAAAAACCATGTTAAATACTACTGCTATTCATTCTATCACCTGCCACAGGATATGAAACTCACTTTAGAATTCCACTTTACTATCTCTCACAGTAACTATCCAGAAGGCTTGTGTGGAACAATTTGAAGGCACGTTTTAAGTTGATCACTGCAACCTCCATGTTCCCTGATTCCCACATAATGCATTAATTTCCCTTCAATGAATCACAGAGAGGAATAAAAACACGCCCTGCTTAGCAGAGCTGCTTTGACTCACCCATTATCCTACTCAATGCCACGTTCTTTGTGGGTGATTCGCTGAGACCCTCAATCCCGCCGTAGAGGGAGTGGGAAATCCTCCGCTCCCGGTCATCCAGCAGAGTCTCTATTGGCAGCTCTGGCCCGGAGGGGCTCCCAGGTGATTCCAACTGCACAGAGAGGGGAAAATTAGCACCCAGGGTCCACTTAGCCACATGGAGGAACTGTAACAAATTGCCTAAGGCCTAGACCTGTCTGAGCACCAAATGAGGTAGAACTTCTCACCCTGGACAAAGATAATTTGCAATGACAGCTCTGCTTAATGACCAAGTTTCTAACCCCTTTACACTACACCCCCCATGGTGCCCTGTCAAATTTCAAATCCTTCAGCAGAAAATTGGCGAAAAAAAACCATTGCATTTTGGTGCCTCTTTGTTGGACAATTTCTTAAACAGACAGTTTGGGCTGTTTTCAATACCACCAGCAGAGAGCTGAGCCACTTCCCCACAGTGACAGCTGGACACAACAAGGTCCCGGTCAGAACCATGGAACACAAACTCCCATTTGGAATTGGGCTGCTGGTGCCAAAGAGATGCAACTCACTTTCAAATGCAATCATCATGGAAACCCCAGGAAAACCAAACACTCATATTAGTAACCAATGCAGAAACACTCAAAAGTTCTGTAGTTAGGAGAGAAAGAAAAACAAAAAGTTGTCAGACTTCACAGTAACCTTTCTTTTTCTACTTGAGTTCCTTGTTCTGTCTTTCCTGCCTGCAGAGTAAAGAGAGCTCACCTGCCTCATTAAACTTGGATACTTCCCTGATCCCTGGCTGCAGCATCCAAAGAGTAGAAATGGCAAGACCAGGGGTGCCCTCCACCCCAGTCCTCAAACCCCTGGAACTGCCCACCACAACTGCAGCCAGGCTCTCCAGGCCATCACAAGACAAGATTAGGTATGTGGTGGAAGAAGTAATGGAGATGGGCTGCTTGGCCACGTGCACAGGGAAGAACACTGTACGTACAGCCACCTGCCTGCCCCACCTGCTCTCCTTCAGAAGATTTCCTTGAGTGACGTCCCAGCTCAGCCTTTGCTTGCTGAAGCTGGTCTTCCTACATATACCTATCAAATGTTTCAAAAAGAGAGGAAAAAGTCTAGTTTTCCTTAGTGAGCCACAGAGAATGAGAGCTCAGGGGAAAGCAGCATCCATGTGAGGCAAAGAGAACAATTTGATATCATCTAGCTGGGTTTAGCCACCCCATCAGGCACAGGCAGCTCCACTGTCAACGCAGCTCCTGGGAACAAGGAGAACAAGCACCTGTGCACTCACAGGTCAGTGTGGATGCCCGATTTGCCAGGGCCCAGTTGCTCCCTGTAGAGACAAGAGACTCCCCACACGGTGTCCCAGTCCTCACACCATGCAGCCTTCCTGCCCCTAAAGCTCTCAGTGCACCTGGGCTCCAGCAGCCTGCTGGGCTCTCAGCAATGTTACCAAGGTGCTTCGCCGAGACCATTAAACCAGTTCACCTAAATATTGTGAACTGAATTCAGCTCTATTAAAAATAAACAAATACTATAAAAATAGATGTAATTTGCAGGAAAGTAATATGAACTCACACATCAAAGCATTAGTTCTTCTCACCAACACACCTTTTCATATTGAAGCATATAGTTAAATTTCAAAATCAATATCCTAACACAAATCCCATGGCATTTATTTCATATGTATTGAAATACAATGGGGACCAGACACTGCAAGAAACTGAGCACATTGCAAACTATTTGAAGCCACTGGGAATTTTTATTCCAAGTACTAGTCTTCAAATGAGCACGAGAGTAGTTCCTAGTTTCGGGAATTACAGTAACAAGCAACATGTTTGTTGGTTGCTTTTTCCTTCTTGAAACAGCTGCCCATTATTAATCAGTCCACCCGCAATCCCCAGATGACTAAGAAATGTATGCTATGAAAAACTTTAAAAATCTGCTTCAAGGGCTATAAAGCACTTGGCTACAGCATCTACAGCAAAGGCTTTGAAGTCGGCCTGATGGACTGACGACTTCTGACATCCGGGTGCTGGCGTGGCGCCCGGTACACAGAGGGGTGGAGGTTTGCGAAACGCCACGCTACAGTCGAGGAGACCGCGACTGGGAGGTCGCAGACTCTGTAAAAATTATTATTTCTGTTTCAAAGCCATCATCTGTTTAATATAAATGAGATATTTAATGAAGTTCCAAATTGTAGACTTATCTCTCCCAGTTTGATAAGCACTGGGGAGATTTACTGCATCGGAGGGTCAACACAATTACAATTGGAGGCACGTCAAGCTGCAGGAGAATAATAAACTTGCAGTGCAAGTGAATTAGACTCAATAAGGTTTAAATTGTGAAATGAGGATTTGTTCTATTAGTTTTTTTAAATTGCAGATTACAACTGACAGCTTTACTGAAAAGTAAATTAAACAATATTTGTAGCCTCTGTTATACAGGAATCTAAGGCGAAGTTGAAGAGAAATGTTAAAATTCTGAAACACTCTAAGAAAAAAGAGCATAGCAACATTGAATTGCTTGAAAGCTTAAACTTGCATGATACAGGTATTAAATTATGAACTAACCTTTATTTCACTGCCTTTAAATAAGGTGTGAAAATATCAAAGTGCTTTGGGATTTATTTTCCCAGTGCTATATTGATGACTTTATGTAACAAGTGTCCAGCTTTTAGTGAGCCATATCACACAGTCCTTTATATGACAACCCATCAACTTTCAAACTCATTTGTAGAAAGATCTCAAGAGATTTTCAGAAAGATACTGATAAGAATCAGAGATATACATAGAAATTCACTCCTGGTGAATAAAATTACTCCTGGAAATAAAGTACAGGGTAGATAAAAGAAATAAAACTAGCGTTGTGTTTAGATGGCTGTGTTTTGTGAAATGAATCACGTATTTTAAAATTTCTATGGGGAAAACTTTTTCCATTTCTAATTAGCATCTCAAAAGATGGGTTTAAACAAAGGAATCAACAGTCAACTACACAAATATTTTACAAAAGTTACATACCTTTTTTAAAATAACAAAAATTGCATAACTGGCTTTCATAAAAAAAAAAAAGTGTTTTCCTTACACTGAAAAAAACCATAGAATTTGGAAACTGTGCTGTGGGTAAGACAAAGAGACCAACAGTCCAAAGCAAGACTGCAGTTCAAATAGACTTGTTCTTCCTGATGCATTTCTAGTAAAGAGCTTGAATTACACATTCTAGTTCCTTCTCTTAGGCAGTGTCAGTGCTATCAGGTATCATTTAATTTCATTAACTGATAAAAGAGTAGGTAATATAAACAAAAGTATACAAATTTCTGACTTCATTAAAGACCTAGCAAGAAAAGAAATCCAGACAGCAACTGACCCCCATCAATAGCTGCTCCTAGCTGGAAAGTTCCTTGGTGTGACAGTTCAGAATCACAGACCAACTGAGGTTGGACGAAACCACTGGGAATTATCTAGTCCAAACTCTTGCTCAAAGCAAGGACAGCAAGGGCAAGCTGTGCCAGTGTTTCACCTCTAAGAAAATTCTTATCTTATGTATATAGAAATTTCTTGTATTTCTATTTGTTCCTGTTGCTTCTTGTCATGGCACTGGGCAGCCCTGAGAAGAGTCTGGATCAGTCTGTTTCTTACTCCCATCAGGTATTAATAGAAACTGACTGGTAAGAGTCCCCTGACCCTTCCCTCTAGAATGAAAAGAGAGAGTTCTCCCACTGGATCCTAACAGTGATCTATAAGAAATGATCATATTCCTAAAAATGCAATAAAACCTCCCATGCTACAGATTCCCTGTAGCTCCTTTTCTCTCCATTCTCTTAAAAATAAAAATAGAAACAAGATTTTTTTTTTTTTTTAAATAAAAAAGGTCTCTACCCTGGCCCTTTGTCATTCAGATAAGAACCAGCTGTTTGCTAAAGCACTGTCTGTACTAACTAGCCCAGCTGCTGTTTATCTAGATGATAAAAGGAGAAATAATGCATTCCTTTTTACTTAAAACACTACCATCCATCCTATCTGAAGTTATGCACATAAATATGAAAAAAAGTTTATGCACAAGAAGACTGCCAAAATATTCAAAACATAAACAAACTTTTTTTTTTTTTTTAAGAAACAAGGATCAGACTCCCTTTTTCCTTCAGAAAGTAAATTATCCAAATATAGGCAAGCAAGTATTATGGATTTTAAAGACACCAGTATACAACTTCGCTATATATTACACTGCACCCAGGGTACTGAAGCTCTTTCTGCCACACAGAATTATTTTCCAGGCTGTCTTTTTCTTCCTTTCTTATCTGTGTACTGTGGTTAAGATGTCCAAAATGCTTCATCTTCCTTTTAAAAAGGAGATACTTTTAAAATACTACTATCAATATTAAATATAGTTCTCCTTATTACCACCCACATTGGGATCCTCCTTGAGGGACAGGCTTTGCCAGATGCTAAAATGTAGGTACATAGCCAGTGAAAGGGTTAGGTTTGACTTGCATGGGCAATCCTGCACTAGTATACGTAAATTTAGTACAGTGTTTATAAGAAGTACTGCATTCTTGTTCTGGCAATGTTAAAAGCAAGCAGAAGACAAAAAATGCTTTTAGAACGCTATGACAGAGACCCCACACCTTTGCAAAATTTAGTTAGATGGTAGGTTATTGGGAGGAACCTGGGCCAAGGTGGAACTTGTAAGTTGATGCAAGGATAGAAAAGAGATAAAGGAGAAAAAGGTAAGTCAAAATAAATGGATACAGACAGAAGGGCAGAACAGAAGACACAAAAGACTACAAAATAGAAATCTATGTACACATTTTCTTATCAACTAAGGCAGGATTTAAGCAGCATTCTTCAGAAGACGCTCACACTGAAGGTAAAATGTTCACCAAGGACATCATACAAGAAGGTACACAGATGGACCCCTTGATGGCAAGAGCGAAAGGTGCACCAAGGGACAAGCATGCAGGAAGGAAGTTCAATGATCTCTGTGCTTTATTCTTTACTGCTGAAGATGCTGGGGAGATTTCCACATCTGATCCCATTCTTACAGCAAACAAGGAGACAAGTGAGATCAGCCAGATGAAACTACATTAGACTAAATGGGCAGGTGAAAAGCTTACATGTCACCCAGGTTGGA